TAAGAATGGGGAAAATTAAAGCAAACAAATGGTATAAAATGAAAATAAAAGACAGATTTGAGAAAGAAAAAACAAAATCTGTGCCAAGTGTTCAACTGAACTGTACCTATATGAAAGCAATCAAATGAAGTAAATGACATAAAAATTTTCCAGTATACAGTTTGACTCAAATCAACATGGCTTTGATGGCAGAAGAGCAACTGATTCATGTTCCTACAATCACACAGAATTTTGCTCACATAACCATTCCATTTACACAACACCAACTCTTTCAGAGAAAACCCATCCATTTCTACCAGGATCACACCAGGAACTGAAGATATATATACATCTTAAGATGTATATATATCTTAAAAACAAAAGAATCAAACCCCAAATCCCAACAAAAAGCCCCAAAAGATTAATGTCAGCATTCTAAAAAGATTTACTTTTCTGTCACAAACTGTCATTTAGAGAACAATAATTTTAATTAAATCTTCTAAATCTTGGCGTTAACAGAGAAACCTGATGGATTAGTTGAACTTGGAATATTGTGGAATTTTCTTGTCTGACCTCCCTCTATAGTTTGCCAACAGCAATTTAAGTTTGCATGGAACATCCCATCCAGTAGCTGGAGTGTAAACAATGTATAGGAAGGAATATATGATAAGATGATGCGTCACATATGCATTACATGTAGAACCTTCACAACTTCATGCACTCAGAAACATGCATGAAGAGGAGGAGAGGACGTCCCAGGATTACCCTCCGGGTGCCTTGAGAACAGAGTGCAGAAGTGGCACTGTTGAAAATTAGCTGAAAAGAAGGAAGAAATAAATTATATCATTTTCTATAAAGAACCAGACTTTTGGCCACAGATATTACTAGGGTACAAATTTATAATTAAGCTAAAGTTTAGATTGGAAATGCTTTGTATGAGACCTTTGACTGTGATCCCTGGAAAGTAAATACACATGTTTAATCAAGACAATCAATAGTATCTATTTGTTAGATACTATTGTGTCATACAAATACTTCATATGAGATCTTTGGCTGTGATCCTTGGAAAGTAAAATACACATGTTTAACCAAGGCAATCAATAGTACCTATTTGTTCAAACAAAGCTAAGCTTAAAAAAAAAAAAAACCAGAAGGGGTCACAGGCTTCAAACACATTATTAAATATAAATATGTTTTATGTATTTCTATTTACTAGACAAATTTAATACATTCATATTAGTGTTGGGTTGGAACAGAATCAAAGTTCAACTTCACCCTGTGCTTTTTAAGCACATTATGTTTAAATACCTTGGGAAATCAAGCTTAAAAGTCAGTTCCAAAAGGAATATAGTCTCGAAAGTAGAGAAACAAGGACTGTTCTTACTCAGTTCTTTAAAGCAATAACCAAGAGCACTGTTTCTTGAAGGCTTTGTTCCATCTTGGCTTGGGGAAAATATAAAGAATGGCACCTACTCATGCCTGTACCCCAATGACAGTTTAAGATACAAATCTACAGAAACAGCAGCACAGGCATGAATTTAACTTCAACCAACTGTGCATTATCTGAATGATCTCTTTTGTGTTTGTTTCAAGTTCAGTTTGACTTTCTGTTGTGGCCCACCGTCACTGGGCTAGCAACATTACATCCAGCGAGACACCATGAGCTCATGTACATAATAACCCCAGCCAATGGCTAACAGACATTGCAACTTTCAAAAGACAGCAACACACCAAAGGATTTCACACTTTAATAGATCCTGCTTTGGATAATTGAAAGTTGTCTGCATTAAGCCAGATATAACTGGCTTTTGATGTGAGAACTCCAGGATGCTAAAGGGATGCAATCCAGCTGTTGGAAAAAGGTCCTTCTTGGCATCTTTTACCTTTCAAACAGTGGTGATATAATAAAATAAACACTAGAATTAAGGACTCATGCAAAGCCATATGGGTTTTCGAAGACCTCATATATGTTTCAGAGAGTAGACTGCTGAGCGAATGTCCACCAAGGGAAGAAGATCACCAGCCATGCAGCTCTTCCAGCATTAGGCCCCATCACACAGATCCATGGGGCAGGATGCTACTTACAAGACCCAAATGTGAATGGTTTTCAGATGTTTTGCCACAAAGAGGTGCTTCCTGAGAAGTTTTCTTTCCCATTTGGAATACAGGGTGGCCTATTAAGAGAAGCCCCATTTAAGCCACCTGGCATAAAAGGAAGTTTTCTTAAATAGGCTCTATCCCTTAACACTTCAGAGAACTGCAGAGAAAACTGGACCTTGATCCAACACAATGTATCCATTCTATCTAGATTAGCTGGCAATTTGTGGTGTACCTCTTTGGGGTAAAAACCACAGTAATGAACTTTATTTCTTCTCTACTCCTTTTGTGTCTTCTTTTTGATTACATAGCCATG